AAAAAGCTACCAAAAAAAAAAAAAAAAAAGAAAAGAAAAGAAAAGAAACCCTTCAAACCCTTTTTTCCGTTTTGCAAATCCCTTCATCCAAACATGACAGACCCTAATCACTCCAATTCCTTCAACTTCATCCCTCTCCCATCCTCTCCGCCTTCAAATTCCGGTTTCTCCCAATGCCGCCACCGTCCTCCTTCTCCTCCGCCACCGCAAGCCCTCCCTCTCCTCAACACCTTCTCGGCGGAAACCACCGATCATCCCTCCTCCTCCACCAGCTACGAACACGACTCTCCGCCACTAGCTCTTGACTTCAGCCTCTCTTGCCCTAGCTCCAATCTCGACTACTCTCGTTCCATCTCGCCAGACCCCACTGGGAAAACCCTCGACGGCGATATTTCCGACCACCCTTTGCCGATCTCCGGCAAAGGTCAGTTCTGGATTCCGACCCCATCTCAGATCCTCATCGGTCCTACTCAGTTCTCTTGCCCTCTTTGTTCTAAAGCATTCAATAGATACAATAATCTTCAGGTAAATTTCTTTTCAAAAACCCTTTTTTTTTCCCCTTTTGATCCATTTTGATTCCTTTTTGTATTGTAATTTTGTTTTGGGGTTTTGATTTAACGGGTCGAGAAATGTTCTTCCTGTCCTTTGGTACTTATATTGGAAGCAAGATCGAGTTCTTGCATTCAAACCATGACTTCTTCATTTTTTTTTTTTTTGGTTAATTTCATAATAATTATTTATAATTTTTTAAGAACATGTTTCAGTTATATTATATCTTTTTTTTTTAAAATTATTATTTTTAATTTCCATTTCTTTGCAGAAAAATTAACAACATTTAAAGGTGTTTTCTTCAGAAAATAATAATTAAGAACAAAAACATGTTTTTCTTCTTCTATTTTTAACCAGAAATAAATTATAATAATTAACCAATGGTAATAGATTTGATTAACCTTTAAAATTTACTTAACTCTTTTAACCTAAAACATACATTTAGTTACATACCATTCAAGTAATTCTTCTAAACAATATCAAATATTTTTAATGTAATTTTTATTGAATTTGGTTAATGAACGGTTAGAAATTACGATCATTTACAATGATATGATATTGTCCACTTTGAGTATTAGTTCTTATTGTTTTACTTTGATTTCTCCAAAATACTTTATTTCGATCACATAATATTTTTTTTACTTATAAACCCATGATCTTCCCCTTAATTGAGGCTCGACTTTTTTTCTCTGGAGTCTTTGAATAAAGTACACCCATTGTTCGATACTTCAGCCATTTTGACTACAATTTTGAGACTCACAACTTCATTGTTCGACATTTGAGGATTCTATAGACATGACTAAGTTAAATGCATGATTTTGATACCATGTTAGGTACCACGAACATTCACAGTGATATGATATTATCCACTGTGAGCATAAACTCTTCCCAGAAGACTTCATTCTAGTGGAAACTCCTATCCCAACAATTCTAACCCTCTCGTGCTAAAACTTTAATCGAAAAATAATTCCTTTAATGGGTTTGTGATATAACTAAACTTCCATCGGTTTAAGCTTTTGGGTAGCGTCGTGCGATAATTTGTCGAGTAATATCATTTTGTGTTTCGTGTTTCGTGTTCTCGATTGATGTTGATAATATTTGAATGTGTAGATGCACATGTGGGGGCATGGTTCGCAATACAGAAAAGGACCAGAGTCACTAAAAGGAACACAGCCAACGGCAATGCTTAAGCTGCCATGCTATTGCTGCGCGCCAGGGTGCAAACACAACATCGACAACCCTCGGTCGCGGCCGCTCAAGGACTTCCGCACCCTCCAAACGCATTACAAACGAAAGCATGGAATCAAGCCGTTCACTTGTAGAAAATGCACCAAGGCCTTCGCGGTCAAAGGCGATTGGCGAACCCACGAGAAGAATTGTGGCAAGATTTGGTATTGCTTTTGTGGCTCGGACTTCAAACATAAGCGCTCTCTCAAGGACCACATTAAGGCCTTTGGTCGTGGCCATGGTGCACTCGGCCTTGACTACTTTGACGACGACAATGAACCCGGTTCTGAACTTGAACACGAACAACACGAACCTCAACTCCTCTTCCATCTCCATCAATGACATCCTTTTTTTTTTGTTGTTGTCGTTTTTGTGTCGTGTGTGTGTTAAATAAGGTGTTGAACGATCGATGTTCATCATCGTTATGTTCTGTGTATACGAAGCTGCAAATCATTTAGTTGTAAAGTTCTTGGCTGGACATTGTGTTTTAGCATTCCTTTTGATTTTTTTAATATGACAATATCTTTTTTTTTTTTTTCTCGTCACTTGAGAAAAAGAAATAAATATAAAAAGGGCATTATTTCAGATGGGGTACTATTGGAATATTCTCAAAATAAGAGGGCTATTATCGTAAATGTGTTCCGCCCTTCGAAATGGGCTGCGAGAAATGTTCATGGGCTTTATATAACCGTGAGCCTCTCGTTAAAATATTTCATCATAGTTTTTTTTTTTTTTTATAAATTTTAAAAATATATTATTTATTCTCACGTGAAAATTATTATTTAACAAAATTTTAAAAATAATGACTAGTTTAGTATTAAGGTTTATATAAATAAAATTGGATGATTAAATTTAAATCCACTAAAATAAATTAATATTTTAGATATTTAAAACGAATTAATTGAATATTTATTACATTTCACGTCTATATATATTTTTTGTGTCAATACCGAAATTCACATAGTATATAAACTTCGTTTATTTAACCCGGGACAGAGAGCTGTTTTTACTATCGCTGATGCACTAGGGGGTCGACGACGAGTTGAGTGATGATCGAGCGTGATCGGTGGAGCTGTATGATAAACATGTTCATCCTTATAGCTCGTAATGATACTGTTTAGTTTGAATTTAATCTTTCAGGACTTTATTTTTTATTTTTTCAAAATGATTTGTCGTAACAGAGACCATGTTCATTACTTATACAACCATGAACTTAAATGATCGGGCTAATTCGTACACAGCTACAGATTTCCGTCATTCAAGAATAAGCATGTAACAACCAATTCGTACACAGCGACAACGCAAACCTCCCTCCGACCAAATCTCCGACGACGCGACCAAAGCTCAATACGATCCGATCGTCTTGAAGGATTCATGAACATGCCGAAGCATATCCTGATCTCGATTCCACTCCGGCGTCGGTGCATTAACAAAATGCGCATACAGCTTGTTCTTCGCACAGGTCACCGATATCAAACTGTGAGTTCCGGCGCCATCGATCTCATACTCGTAATAAATCTGTCCATTCTCATCCTTCTTCTCCTCCGCCGAGAAGCTCTCCGCGCTCGCGATCTGATCCTGCAAATTCACGTCCGATAGCGCTAGGTTATTTAGAATCACATCTTTTGGCCCTAATTGCCGGATTCCGGCCAGGAAAGTTAGGTATTCTTTCTCCGATCGTTTCTTCGGATTGTAAAATTCGCTATCGGTTCCGTTCGTACCTGCGGAATCAAGAAGCTAAAATTGATTTTCGAAATGAATTGAACTATTCGAGTTCTTTAATTTAGGAATTTCCATGGCGATTTTGAAATACCTTTTTCGACTTTTGATACTAATCGCTCCTTCCAGCCGTCCGGCACGTCGTAGACGTATTCCGCAGAGTCTTTCTTGTTGGCGTTGCCGCCAAGGCCGCCGTAGTTGGCGGCGCTGGCAGCGGTACCGTAGTAGACGTTGAATGCGGGGCCGGCGTCGGCCAGTGACGGTGGACTAGTGCTCACAATCGCGGCTATGGCGATGGCGCTACCCGCGGCGGTCAATGAGGAGAGTGAGGGTTTGGATTGAAGAACGGGGATAATTTGGGGCTTTTGCGGCGGCGGAATTTGCGGCAATTATGGGGCGGTTGTTCCGGTGGATGCAGCGGCGGCGGAGAAGAACGCCAATGGCGAGATTGCTGCGGCCATAGTGAGCGATTTTCGTGGATTTTGGATTTCTGGTTTATCTCGTCTGCGTAGGATTTTCTCCTTATCCATTATTTTCCATTTTCTTTATTTTTCTAAATCGTTTTTTAATTTATGGAATTTATATATTAAATGTTTTTATTTTTATTATTTAACTTTTTTATATTTATTATTCCATAAGCTTCTAACAAAAATCTAACGGTCACTATTCTTACCTAAACAGACAGCTATGCCCAAAGAGAGAACCAATTAAATAATTTAAAGCTATTTAAAAAAATAAAATTTACATTAATTCCTTGTAGTTGTAGCCCCAAACTTGGTTTTTATTACAACAATGCCCCGATTTTCACAAGCGATATCCCATTTCCGTGCAGGGGCATTTCTGGAATTTTACGGAAAATGAATGGCCAACGCTTATATTGGATACTGACCGCCAAAAAGCCCTAGGTTCGGCCGTACAGGCGCGCGCGAGAGCTTCTTTGTTTCATCGATTGAATCATGAACTGCGTTGATTTCGTTATTTTTTCCTCTTTTCATTTCCCTCCATTGCTTTTATCTTATTCAAATCATCTCTTAGCCGTTTAATCAACCAAGCAATCGAAGGGGTTTTCTTGCTCGATTTTTTGTCCGTTTGAATTGGATTATCTCCTCTCATCGCTTTTAGTTTCGATCGCCATGTCTAAACGGTGAGTTCTTCGTTTCTATAGTTTCTGTTATTTTGTTGTGATTATACTTCTTCATGTGTTATTGTTGATATTGTCATGTAGTTGATTGATTGTTTGTTTATTCGTTTTCTCGCATATTTGATGAGTATTATTGATGATCATCGCATCTTGATATTTTTTTCTTGAATAACATCTTAATGAATTATGAGTTCAATACATCCTGTTTAGCAGAAAAATGAAACGTAATCGAGTGACCGAGTCATCTTGATCACGCTTCTTTGGTATCTGGTTTAATTATTAGGTATATGCTATTTCTAGGGGCTGGTTTATCAAATGTTAACTACTTCTGTCTGTGATTATAAATATTTCGAATTTGAGTTTCATGAAAGCTGTTTTGTTGAGTTGTTGTTATAGACGCTGGATTTTATGTCTATGAAGTTTTGTTATTCGATGTCCTTGGAATTGAACTTGTTCATACGCGTGGTAATTTACTTCGGTGGTTTATTTAGGGTCCTATGCAAGTATTTTTCGCATGGAGCATGCTTGAAAGGGGAATATTGTGAGTTTTCACATGACTGGTCGGCTCCACCAAGCAATGTAAATATTACTTCCACTCCCCTGTGTTGCCATATGTTGTGATATAAACCAACGGTCGGTTTGGCTCTCCGATCATTATCTCTTTCTGATGTATCATTCATAACAGGTTTGTACTTATTATCAAAAGGGAAGGTGTGCTTTTGGCAGTCGATGCAGATATGACCATGTTAAAGTTTCTCAAGCGGAGTCATCAGCTTCTTCAAATTCTCAGCAACCTCATGTGTCTGAATCTGTTTCTATAGCTCATCCCCTATTATCAAGGCCACTTTCTCCCTTACCTGGATCTACAAGCGAGCTTGCTGGTTCAAAGATATCCTGTCCTCCCTCGCACGTTCAAATTGTGTGGAGTGGAGAGTCTGAGCATCCAGATGGTCTTGATGATTGGAGGAATGGGGAGACAAGGATTGTTGGTCCAGCTGATATACCTATTTGTTCTTTTGCTGCTGCTGGAAGTGATTGTCCACGTGGTCAAAACTGTCCTCATATTCATGGGGACTTGTGTCCTACTTGTGGAAAACAATGTTTACATCCGTCTAGGACTGATGAAAGGGAGGAGCACATTAAAGCGTGCGAGAAAAAGCAAAAACATCTCGAGTCTTTGAAACGTAGCCAAGACATAGAATGTAGTGTCTGCCTGGAGCGTGTTCTTTCTAAAACTGAAATAGCTGAGAGGAAATTTGGGCTTCTCTCAGAATGTGATCATCCATTCTGCATTTCTTGTATTAGAAACTGGCGCAATACTTCATCTACCTCAGGAATGGATGTTAATAGTGCTCTAAGAGCCTGCCCAATTTGTAGGAAGTTATCATACTTTGTAATTCCAAGTGTCATTTGGTATTCTTCCAAAGAAGAAAAGCAAGAGATTGTTGATAGCTACAAGTCAAGGCTGCGGTAAATTTATGTTCTTCATTCCTATTATGTGATTGCATTCTGGAAGCTGTTCAATTTTTTTACATTCTTTTCATGTTTTCTACTTCCCTTTTTTTTTTTTTTTGGCAAAACTCGTTGTTGTCTATGTAAGTTATTATGCATTAAATGTATTCTGAAAATCTCCATAGCCCATAGGAACGATCATCCAAAATTATTCAGAAAATGGAAGCTGCATAACTGCTGTAGTCATTGTATGAGCTGTTGAGATAATTTCACTGCTCTGGATTTGTGAGTTTATATTATTTTCTTGCACAGATCAATAGATTGCAAGCACTTCAACTTTGGAAACGGGAACTGCCCATTTGGATCCAGTTGTTTTTACAAGGTAAGTTTATCTCTGAAAGCATTTACTCGGTTTCTTTTTCCTAATTGTTCTCTTCTGAGCATGCTGGATGTTGTTGTTGTGGCCTTTTATGTTGTCAGGAACTTCCAATTTTCCTGAACTTTATTCTTCATCCTTTTATTTTCTTTATGCATGTCCAAATTGATTTTTTTTTATTCTTTTATCGATCATTGATATTCTCTGAATGGAATCTCAACTTGTTTGGTTTTGCTAATTTATTAATGCCCCAGGAAATGTATTAAATAGTTACATGTTTGGCTTCCTGGCCATGAGCTTATGGAAGGAATTCTTTTTGAGATCTGGATATGGAATGATAGGGCAACAGAAGACTCTTGTCATTATTATCCTCTGATGGTTTCATAAGCCACCCCATTTTCCATGGCCATCCAATCATGTCGGGTTAGATATGCTGAATCATACTCACCTGTGCCTCTTAGTGTTACAGTTTATTCTTTTGGCACACTATACCAAGGGTGACTCTTTGTTGTCCAATTTACTTTTTTAAAAAAAACCTCAAGGATGCCTCCATTTCTCATAGGGATCTTCTCTTTGGAATCCCTGCTTCAATTAGAATAGTTTGAGGACCAGGATAAGGGATGAAGTTCCTTTCTTTCCTCCCACCAGTTTGCCTACTCTAACCAAATTTTATAAACAAAAATTATTTTTGATGTATACTACAGATAATCTATATCCATGAACTTTTAGTTTTCTATTTTTAAAAATTTATGCTTGGTTATTAACAGGTTTCTTTATTCTTTAATCTATTTTTAAAAATCCTAAACAAATTATTTTCAAAAAAGTAGATTTTAAAAATATGGTCATTATGTTTGAGGGGTGGGTGGCTATGAATTTCATGTTCTTTTAAAATGTGAAAAGCCAAGAAAGAACTTTAAAAAAAAATCAAATCTTTGGGTAACAATTTCTTCATTTTTTCAATTAACTTTGAAGAATGTTTTAAAAATCTTATCCAATTTTTTGAAAGAAAAAACAAAAAAAAGAAGAAAATCAATTCCTAAATTTTTATTTTTGTTTTTAAATTTTTACGAACCATCTTAAAGTGTTCTTCGAAAAACGAAAAAACTAAGGCTGGCTTTTTGCGTTTTTGTTATTTTTTTATAGAAAATTTTATAAACAACAAGTTCCTTGTTATGTAAGTTTCTTTTTAAAACTAAGCTAAGTTTTGAAAACCTTAAAAAGTAGTTTTTGTTTTTAGAATTTGGCTTGAAGTCACATGAATCTTTAGCAAATATGAATGTTTAGTGTTTTTTAAAAGTAAGCTAAGATTTGGAATCCTTAAAAAGTAGTTTTTAAAATGTGTTTTTGTTTTCTGGATTTGGCATGAAGTCACATAAATCTTTCGAAAATATATGTTAAAAAATCTTCTGCAATACTTTTGTTGCCTCTCTTGGAAAAATTTCCCGGGCTCAATTCTGGTTAAAAGTGATGTGCTGACTACCTTGACTGTTTGGCTTTGCCAACTCTGTTAGCAATGCCTAATCAGTTTTAGTCAAATTACTAGTACGATGAACATGAAATTATATAGTGTGGATGCCGAGATCGTATTACTAGACCTTTTGCAATTGATGGATGGATTCCTTGTTTCAAATTAATAGAAGTAATATACTTACAGGTGTTGGATTTGAATGTGTGATCATGGGGAGAGAATTGTAGGTTAGCACTAGCAAGTCAGGCAGGACGTCTTCTAAACAGCATTTTGTTGATCTTTGTATGCTTGCCAATCATCTGCACTTGCCTATTTTAGAAAATACATATGCAACCGCTCTGTCACATTCATCTTCGTCTCCTTACCTATATGAGTTGAGCTGCAAACTCAACGACCCTTGTATGTTTGGTGATGTGTCATAGGCATCACATAAGCAGTGCTGTTCATTTTCAATCAGCTTTTATGGTAGATATTGAAAGATGTGGTTCATAAATGGATGTTATCTGCAGATCTATGTGCATTCTGTTTGTCATTTAATTTCATTAGAGCAGATTAGCTTTCCAGTCTTTTGATTGATACACTGTTTGTTGTGTTCCAGCATTTGGTCAAGCCTGGTTCATACTCATGGAAATATCACAGGCCACCTCCACGCCGACCACGATCACAGAGAACTCCAAACAGATATAATATTGTGGATATGGATGCCTTTTTTGATATGTTCGAAGACTTAGAGGATTTGGATTTTAGTGCTGAAGATTTAGATTTTGAAGATTTAACTCCCTTGGAGATGGCATTTGTTCTAATGCAGTTGGGTCGTGAAGCTAACTCGTCAAGTGATGAGGAGAATATTAGATTTTGAGATGCATTTTTCTTAGGTAGTTGTAACCTGATGTATATTGGGTCTTCGACAAGTTTCTTTCTTGTCTTGTCCAAAAACTTTGAAGATTTGCTATTCTAGCATTTTTGGCCACCTAGCAGTGTCCCATCTGCAGGAAAACAATTTGTGGACTTTCTTAATTGTCGTAAATGCCATGTTATTGGGGAATTATATTTTGCAGAAGGCATTAGTCATTTGTCCAGGGGAAAATTAGTCTCGAGTTACCAAGATGGCGATGGTCAGTTTATGGAAGGATGTGTAGATTATATTATGACTTCTTAAGTTTTTTATTTTACTACTGGGAATTAGGAATATCTGTTGCTGGCTATCAGGCTATCTTCTTCATTCATAGATTTTTCTCAGAGTTCTGTTTCACCCTCCTGCTTATCCAAGCCAAGTATGCACTCCTAATATTTGATTTGTGCATTTAGCGAAGTTCTGTGCAGACTGATACCAGTTTGGTTGTTTGTTGTCCAAGTATGCCTGTAACTTGAAGTGAATGTTGGATTCATATGTAATATTATCCAAAGTAGTTTTCCTGTACGTGGACTCTCTCGCATGACGATGCTTGTTTCTCGAATGAAGCCTTTCTTTTTGCAAGTGGCTCCTAATGTTTGATTTGTGCATTTAGTAAAGTCCTGTGCAGACTGATTCTTACCAGTTTGGTTGTTTGTTATCCAAGTATGCCTGTAATTTAAGTATATTATCCATGAAGTAGTTTGTGGACTTTCTCACATAATGATGCTTGTTTCTCGAATTTTTTAGCATTTCTACTTCCTTTGTTACACATGCATCTGCATTGTACTAAGCTATATTAACTTCAAAATGAGATTCAAAATTTGATGTGATTCTCATTGCAGCACGCTCATTGGGATGGCCGGTTGGAAGAGATAACTCTGCGTCATATTGGGAATCAAGATGGTCTCACTGTTATCGCCAAAAATATTAGGTTTTGTTTTGTGGATTTGCTTCTTGCTGTCTATTTTTGTTCAACGTTACCTTTTATAAATTTGAAGCTATTTTCAGGTTGTCGGAATTTCTCAGTGACTTGCATATCAGGTGAAGAACCATTCCATCAGGTATGAGAACACACTAAAGACTCCTCACCCCTAGAGTTCACCATCATGCCAATATGATGTCCACTACGGAATCTTTCACATTTAAGTATGATCATTATGAATTTTTATTGCTAGTCGTTTCCTACTATCATAAGGTTTTGTTTGGACTTCGTAATTCAGTATCTTTATCAATTGAAACCCAGCATATTTTGTTCGAAACGGAGTCGATTAATTTTGGCACAATCTGTTATTATTTCAATGCCAAATTTTATGTATTGTATTAGTCTTCAATTACACTTGCAATATCATCTATGAGTTTGAAAATCAGTTTCAGATGCGCTATTGCCTGAAATTAACAATGTAGCCCATGAAATGCCAACCTTTGTGTATTATTATTAGTCTTCATTTACACTTGCAATGTAATTGAAGAGTTTGAAAACCAGTTTCAGATGTTGAATTGCTTGCTGGAGTCTGATATTGAGAAACGAAAGGTGGGTTACCGAGCACGGTTCTTCGAACTTCATCTTCTATGAATCAAAATGAAGCTGGAAGACATTATGTCATACTGAGGAATGAAGGCAGCAAGGCCAAGCTCTTATTCTTCGGATGATGGTGAAGTAAATGTTATCACATCACATGAATCACAGGTGAATAAATTGTAAGGGTTCTACGCTGTTGTTGTTGTTGTACTAAACATTGGAAAATGACCGAATGTATTGGTTTGTATTTTAAGAGGAAGATAAATGGGAATGTCGATGTCGATGTCGATGTCGATGTCAATGTCAATGTCGTGTGTGGTTTGATAGAGAAACAAGAGAAAAGGAAACTTCAAGGCTAGCATACATTTTATTCACCTCCTCCGATGTCAATTTGAGCTTAGTTTAATGTATAATACTCCGTTTTTTATGTGGTAGTATATGAGTTTATTTGAGTGACGACGACTTCATGTCATTGTGGATCTTACTTGTGTATTAATGAACATGAAGCAATTTCGTTATCTCTTTAACCTCAGGTGATTAAAAGCTTTACTTTTCTTATCTCATGGGTTATGGTTAGAGTTCGAGTTAGTTTGAGTTAGAGAAATACACGGTTTTTGGATTTGTAGGGTTTAGGGTTTCGGGTTGTTCGTATTAAAAATATTTTTTTAAAAATATCTTTTAAAGGGTATGCATATATATAAAGCCCTAGGTCGCACCCTTTCTTTCTTCCCCTCCCATTTATATCTTCTCTCTGCACTTTCTGCAACTATGCCACCACGCCGCCATTTTATTCGTTAGGATTTCTTAAAAACCTCGATTCTTTGTCTGTGTCGTAAAGTAACTACCTCTCCATCTCTTTCGCCGAAGAGCTCGAAATCGATAATCAGGAACCCAAAGTATGGCCGCCATTGTTACGCGTAGGTTAAGCTCCAAATTTCTCAGACCAATTCCTTCTTCCACTTTTCTCATCTCCCAAAACCCTCGCGAACACTTCACCCGAATCCCTTCTACACATTCCGATCCCTCGTTTCCGCAATCGCCACGACGAACTTTTGCAATCCCTACAGTTGACCTCATCAATTCCCACACACCTTTTGCAGATCTTGAGGCTCTCAGATCTTACAGGAGATCCGCGAATTTCAATCTCAGTAACCCTAATCCCGATCATCGGATTCGGGGACCAATCACATCCAGTCCTGGTTTGATTCCGAGATTGAGAAACCCTAGCTTCTTCATCTCAGATTTGGATCAGAAATATGGATTTTCTTCAACTCCTGAGAACGAGAACTTGGAGAAACCCGCTGATTTCAAGCATCAAGACATCGAAGGACCGACCGTCGAGAGAGACCTCTCGGCGTTGGCCGGCGAAACCAGAGAGGTGGTTGAAGCGATGATGAAGAACGTGTACAGCTTAAGCAAAGCTATGGCGATTCTCGGTCTTGTTCAGTTGGGAATTGGGGCTTGGATTTCGTACGCAACTCGCGCTTCACCATTCACAGAAGTTTCCATCCAGAGCTTCGTGTCCTTCGGGTTTCCTTTCTCGCTGGCCTTCATTCTCCGCCAATCTCTGAAGCCAATGATGTTCTTCAAGAAAATGGAAGAACAAGGTAGGTTGCAGATTCTGACTCTAACACTTCAAATTGCTAAAAATTTGAATGCTCTGTTCGTTAGAGTGCGAATTGTTTCATTCTTATGTGTAACTGGATTGTCTGTTGGTGTTCTGTTTGCTTTGCTTTCGAGATGAATCCATTTTCTTCCCCATTCTGCAAAAACTTCGAGCCACACAAAATTGGGCTTCCACAAACCTTCTCATAAGAGTGTTCATCAATGAATTCGTTTCAGAACTATGAATGTCAGTTGTTTTGGGTTCCTTTTTACACTTTTTAACTTTGATTTATTTCTCCAAGAACACCAAATTATGCCATAACAAAATTTGGTTTGTTCTTGGACTTCAGGTTTTTGGTTCATTTGGATATTAAAAAAGAAAAAAAAAAAAAAAAAAAAAGATACTTATGCCACAGTACTCTTGAAGGAAAAGACCGTCTATTTGGAGGTCGTTAATATAATGCTTCTTTGAAGCTTTATGGGAGAAAGTACAGCTATTAGGGAGGAAATCCTTATTTACTCGACCTTGATAGCCAAGATTCAGTTTGTTCGTCTCCTACTCTCTATTGTAGCAAATCGAGATTAGCCTTTGTTTTAATTATATGTTTCAAATGTCTTCTTGAACGAGAACTACCGGAAGAAGTTTACAAGAGTCTTCCCCTAGTTGTGTAAGAAGAGGAGACGACGGGGCGAAAATCTGTGAATCAAAGAACATTCTTAGACTTTTTGAGGGCTAGGGGGAAGGGTTTCACGAGGAAGCATGGAAGATTTAAAAGACAGTTCTATCCTTCTTCAAATTCTAATACAATTTATTAAATCAACTCTCCAGAGTGCCGTTTACCATAATATGATAATAATAAACTGGAATCTCTGTAATGATATGATATTATCTTATATTGGATTTTGAATAAAAGGAAAAAAAAAATCAAATTTAGGTATTAAAAGAATAAATAAATACAAAAATCATCAGTTTCCACGTGTTCATCAAAGAAGGAGAAATCACATTACAAAGGGTAGAATCGGAACACGTAAGAAGCCTCCACTCTGTACACACCCAAAAACGGGATTCATAGGAGCACCAGCTTTTCCAACTCGATCCCCTACAACCAGTTCCTCGTAAGCTCGCCACTATCTTCATTCTCATTGGTCCAACTCCCTTTTACCCCTTTTCTCCAATCACAACGTTCCACGTATACCCCAAAACCAACCATTTAGAATTCGTAACGTTTTTGTTTTTGTTTTTTTTTAATTTTATTTTTGGCCCACGATGGCCCTTTAAATTGGGAATTCCATTGTAAAAACTTGGCTTTTCTCTCCACCTTCCAAACCCCATCGCCTTTCTGATTGCTGTAGGGTTAGTTTTCCCAATTTCCTCCTCTTCTTCTTTTCTTCTCTTCAACGTAATTCGTTCATCGCCGCATACGGCTATTTTGTTTCTTTGATTTATATATGTTTTTTGTTCCTGTTGATTTTCAGTGAAAGGAGGGGAGCGGAGAATCGTCATCTAGCTGGGAATTTTATGGTGTTTTCTATTGTCACGAATACGCAGCGGTCGAATACAGCTTTCCCTCCTACACTCAACAACGATCAGGTCAGTATTAAGAATTTAAGGGTTTCTTCCTTTTCTCGATATTGATTTTTTCGATATCTGTTGGTTTCTAAGCAAATTAGTTGTTTCTGAGGAAGCGATTATGCTTTCTTCTGTTTTGCTGAAATTTATTGTAATACTTGACGGAAATTTTTAATCGAACTTGTGGAGGGAAGTAATCTTATGATGTGTTTTTGGTATATGCTTGCGTTTTCTTAGGTTTTTGGACATTACTAACAGCAGGTATTTGCATGTCTTTTCTTCTTTTGTGTGTGTGTTGTTGTTGAGTGGCCTCCTATTACTTTTAATGTTTTCTATTCTGTTCCAAATCGATCTCTCTTTGCTTGGAGTTTTGTTTTAGAACATAATTGAGGTATTTGCATATTACCATTCTTGGAAGAAGAATTTTAGTGGCAATAGGATGAGGCTAGGGTTCTAATTTTGTAGAATGGTTTGGGACTTAGAGCTTGCGAATGAAGGATGAAACTATGAACAAGGCCTCCACTGAGCACTGAAAACTGATAGCCACTTCAAACCTTTCAAAGGAAACCATGAACTGACCACTGACCGATAAAAAGACATTCCAAAACCAATCACAAGGCAACCTGTTGCAACATTATTAGAAAGTTTCTCATGAACAGATGGATATATTTCATTAAAATCCCAATCTTCAAGCCATTTCTGCACGTCTCCTTGAAAAACACTTTAGCTTTGCATGAACTTCTAACCATCACCTGCGAAGATACACAAATTCTTTCATGTATGCTCATTCCAATTACCTATTTTGACTGGAAAATAATGCTTCCCATGCACAACCACCCTAATAAGAAGATCCTTCTGCTGACCGACCAAAATATGATTGGAAATGAATGTTTCCGTGCCAAGCACCGGAATTAATTCAATTTGCATACCAACCAAAGTAATAAATTGTAATAGCCCAAGCCCACCACTAACAGATATTGTCCTCTTTGGACCTTCCCTTATGGGCTTCCTCTAAAGGTTTTAAAAACGCATCTACTAGGGGAAGGTTTCCACATCCTTATAAAGTATGCTTCATTCTCCTCCCCAATCGATGTGGGATCTCACAATCCACCCCCCTTAGGGGTCTAGCGTCCTCACTGGTACTCGTTCCTTTCTTTAATTGATGTGGGACTCCCAATCCACCCCCCTTCAGAGCCCAGCGTCCTTGCTGGCACACCGCTTTGTGTCCCCCCTCTTTGGGGCTCATCCTCCTCGCTGGCACATCGCCTGATATCTGGCTCTGATGCCATTTGTAACAGCCCAAGCCCACCACTATTAGATATCGTCCGCTTTGGACTTTTCCTTTCGGACTGCCCTTCAAGATTTTTAAAATGCTCTGCTATGGGAAGGTTTCCACACCCTTATAAAGAATGCTTCGTTCTCCTCCCCAACCAATGTGGGATCTCACTTAAATTTATCTCCATAAACTGATTTACTTGAAAACTTCATCCCGTGTACTGTATCTAGAAACTAATTGATAGCCATGATTTCCTTGAAAATTTGAACTTGTGTTTTTGTATTTATAAGCTGGTAGATTATTATTTACAGGAAAGGTGAAAAATGGAACATAAAGAGGCAGGATGCCAAGCTCCTCCAGAAGCCCCCAAACTTTGTGCAAACAACTGTGGGTTTTTTGGAAGTGCTGCAACTATGAACCTGTGTTCAAAATGCCACAAAGACTTCATCATGAAACAAGAACAGGCCAAGCTTGCAGCATCCTCGTTCGGTAACATCGTGAATTGTGGACCAAATGACCATGGCAAGAAGACAATTGTCACTTCTCCAACCAAGCTAGAAATCAAACCAGCTGAGTCGTTCATCATTCCGACTCAAGCATGTCGTACTTCCTCAAGTGCAAGCAGCACCCCCGCAGAGAAGGTGAAAGAAAGCCCAAACAGGTGCAGCAGCTGCAGGAAACGCGTCGGTCTAACAGGGTTCAACTGCCGATGTGGAAGCCTCTTCTGTGCAGTCCATCGCCACTCTGACAAACACGACTGCCCTTTTGACTACCAGGCCATTGGTAGGGAGGCAATCGCAAAAGCCAACCCGGTGGTAAAGGCGGAAAAGCTGGACAAGATATGAAGAAGAGGAGTGCAGACCCAAAAGCTGAGTTGTTATAAGGTGCAGCACCCACCCACCCACGTATTTGTTTTTGTGTGTTGAATGAAATGAATGTATGATGTTCTGTTGGTTGTTGTTGTGTTTTTGGTGAAAGAAGAG